CACGTAGCATTTCGCCTCGAGCACCCTCCAAGATTTTCCCACCCAGCCCGCCCTAAGTGGGGGCATCCCGGGTCAGAAGCAGACTTGATGCGCCCCTGATCAAAACAAAGTGTGAACTCCGTGCAGTCTCATGTGCTCATGTGAACCGGAAGAAATAAGAGCAAAAATTAAGCCAGAGAAAAACTACATACCAGGCTAGCCTCTGTTTTCGAGAAAAGCTATCCACCAAGTCAAGAAAAAGCTGATGAACAAGCTGTCTGGAGAATCATGACGCTTGAAGCAAAGCTTAAAAAAAGCTAAAGAAAAGTTGCAAACAGGAAGAACAGGGTTGAAAAACAAGCACTCAATCAAAACTGAGTGGAATAGGTCAGGTTTGCCCAGCGCATGATTTCAGAATTGGTCTTCGCAGCGGTTGGAGCCTGTTCAAGCCCTGCGACCTTGGGACCTTTCCAACCCAGTGGACATGATTACGCAGGATTCACGTGGAGATTTGATGTTTTCAAGGGGCTAGAGGGGCTACCCATGAAGAAACAAGTAAACATTTCAGCAGGGGTGATTCTCATAACACGAACCCACAATGGAGCTCGAGCGAATCGGTTTACATGGTGATGTTTACTCGCCCCTGGTCCGGTTGTTCTTGTTGTCTTTTCTGAATAACTTCAATGCAGCTTTGGCTGGGGGCTTAGTTAGCTCTGCTTTAGCTTTTTTCTAACTTTTCTGTAGCTTTTTTGTAGCTTTTCTGGGCACCGGCCCCAGGTGGCCTGTGCCCCTCCGAAAATTAGCTTTTCCCTAGGAAAAAGCTAAAAGAAAGCTAAAAAAAGCTAAAAAAAAGTTAAAAAAAGCTGAAAGAAAGCTAAACAAAAGCTAATCCAAAACTAGAAAAAGCCAAAAGAAAGCTAAAGAACAGGCTGAACATAGTTACAAAAAAAGCTAAGAAGAAGTCACAACGAAAGCTAAAAGAAGCTGCAGAAAAGTTACGAAAAAAGCTGCAGTGCCCGAACTCAGGTCCCAAAAAGCTATTCCGGAAGCTTCCTCTCTCTCTCTCTCTCTCTCTCTCGCTCTCAAAACCAGCTACTCTACCGATGAAAGACTTGGAAACACGGCTTCCATCTTGCCAACATCTTCCCCACACAGACCCACAGGCGGAGCCACTGAAGGCAGCTTCGCACACCAACTCCAAACCAAAACATCGTTCAGAGAATGATCTTTGTTTTTTTGTTGAGTAGGGTGGGCGGGAGTTCTAAGTCCTTTACCTCTCCGGTAGTTCTCTTGTAGCTTTCTGGTAGCTTTGTAGTACGTTTCTGATAGCTTTCTTCGTACCTTTCTGGTAGCTTTCTGGTAGTTGTCCTGTAGCTTTCTGGTAGCTTTCTGGTAGCTTTTTGTTAGCTTTTGAGTAGCTTCCTCGCAGCTTTCTTGTAGCTTTTGCATGGGTCGGGCACAGCCTACTATAGCTTTTTTAAAGCTTTCCTTTAGCTTTTTGCTAGCTCATTTTTAAATCACTACTTTCCACCACGCCTGAGGGAACGGACATCCTAATCCTAATTGCAACAGCAAGGCGAGTTGGTACGTTCGTTTCCCTGAATGCAGGTGATTGTGTGCGATGCTGGACATGCAGAGAAGGGCAGCTGGGGTGAATCACGGATTGCGCGGGTCAGCTATGCTGATGACATGCTGGTAAAGCTGGCTCGCCGGTCCTATGAGCTGTATGATGAACTGGACAAGACAACAACGGAGCCTGTGATGTACAAAACAGGATGCCTTGATGTTGGCTTCAAGCGGCGGAGTGGCTCTGCTCGCATAACATCGTCACAAACTCTAGTTTGGTTGAACCTCGAAAGTGTACCAAGAGGGTGTCAGGTGTGTTTGCTTCCCAATAGTCCTATTTTTCCTCTTGGAAGGCCTTGGTGTGAACCTAATTTTTTTTGATCATTGCAAGGGGGTTGTCAATATTCTTGCTAAGTTTTTGAATCAACTGCTATGATATGAGACTGGGGATTGCCACGAATGGCTTCACTGATTGATCTTACTGATCCATGGTCTTGCTGGTTGCCTTCTGTACCCCCAGATTTGCGGATCTGCATCCTGACTGCTTTGCGGCTCAACCCCTTTTGCTGCATCTGGGTTAACAAAGTGGGAGTTGTAATGAGGAATTACAACATTGGTAAATACGGTCAAATACCAGAATGATTTGCCTGATAAAGCCCTGCCTTTAGGCCTTGACAGGCTTGCAGAGACGCAGCCTGGACGCAGCTACGTTTGGGTTCGGCCCTTGAGGATGTCAATCTCCTCTCTTTTGGGACTTTGGAACGCAGTGTTCAGGCACTGTAACGTTTGAGGTTCAGGGGTTGTCGAAAAGATAGCATTCCAGAATCTTCAGCTTTGCAGGTTTTGCACTGCATTATTGTAGGGAGTATTGCAGCTGCATGTGAAGCGTATGTGTCCAGGTTAATATTCTGAGCACATTTGGAGGACTTGTCGGCAACATGGATTGTTCTGTAAGTTTTATTGAGATTGCATTGCGACATGCAGGGTTCAAGGTTCTGGAGCTAGGCGTTGCCGTTTCATGAACAGCTAAACCTTGTGCTATCGTTATCTCTACCGTGGCTGCATAGCCCCGCATGCTAAGCCCGAATTCTAGTCAGGAAGAAAGATGGTCTTGAAACTGGTCTCTTCACTCGTAGTCTACCACAAAGGTTTGCACCGGCCGTTCGCTAGCACTTCCTCTGGTCTTTAACCGACAGAGGTGTTTTGGACCGCTTGTGCGGTTGTCATAATCAGGGGGCTGTGAGTATTACGGGGTCTCAACATCAAGACATAGTTCTGACAACTCCCTATCCGGTATTCCGTGGAGTGAGCTCTTGACCTAGGTATGACCGCCTCGCTCAGCCGTATCAACGCCTGACGCATCACGAAGTACAGCAGCGTTGGCCAATGCTGCAACTGTCCTCTGAGTATGTCGAGGTAGGCTTGTGCAGCCCAAAGTTGAGACATTGAACAAAAATTGGCGACTCAGAGTCTGTCCTTCAAGGTCTGAATCTCTCAAAGGGCCATCCAAAGCCACCAGGGACTTTTTACACGAAAGCAACTTCCCTTTGGGCAAGCTCCCATCCTCAGCTCTGCTCAGAAGATGATCCTTTCAGCTGTTGGCAGTATGCGCACCCCTGCAGTCTAAAGCCTGAAACCCTGGGTTTAGGTTAGGGTTGACGTCAACCAGAAGCCCTGAAAGCGAAGGCTGGGTTGAGCATGGAACTGGTTGCGTATCACTTACAATCTGTGGCGGAGCTGCGAACCTCCTGCTGTCGATCCCAGACACATAACACTGAACACAAGATATTTGCAAAATGTTTCCCGTATCACATTAAGACATGTCTTCATGGATTTTCGGAAAGACGGCAGATAATCTTGCATATGTTTTAGCCGACTCTGTTCGGATGCGTGTAATAAATTGTGTAGCAGGTCTACACACAAGGTGCATCTGTTAATCTGCCTGGCTGACCATGAGTGTAGATTGTGCGAAGTGAGCTCCATTCGAATACGGGGACTATGGGCTATGAACTGATCGAGCGATATTTGTAGGGAGCTGTGCAGCTCGTTAACATTCGTCTCTTTTGACCTCAATTTCTAGAGATGCTCCAGCTTGGCATTGTAGCTCTTTAGTCTTGAGCCTTCGGCCTTGACCCTTGAGAAGTGGCAATATCAGCATGACCATTTGTGGCCGCTGTCAGAGTTATGCTCCTAGGCTAAAAACATTCTGCCTAAAGCCTTTTAATCCTTAAGCTTCGTGAAGCCTGGGCCGCCACCCGAAGCCTAAAACTTGATCCCAGCTACTCTCCTTTTCCAGGCCTCCGTCTACTGCCCACTTGGGGATGCAGTTTGTGTCCCAGTGGTGTTGGAAGCCTTGAAGGCCAGCTTAGTAAGAATGACAATGTTCCTGAAAATGTTCAGTATCTCCCGAGTGCTTCCACGATGCATAAAGATGATGATGGTGATGATGATGATGCTGCTGCTGCTGCTGTTGTTCTTATTCTGGTTCTTGTTAGGTACTTATTATTACCATGACAACTACAACTGCTACCACTATTTCTATCATTACTACTACTGCTCTGATTGTTACCGCTGCTGCTACCATGCTGTGGCTGCGGCTGCAGCTGCTGCTCCAGCTTTCTGCTGCTGACTTGTTGTACCCCCCAGCCACTATCTCGCATGAAAGTCATGATTGCGATGCATTTCCTTCTTATGAACAGCAGGTTCTGTTCCAACAGCAGTCCGATGCGTCTTGTTCTGAACGCCAGCTACAGGAATAAGACCGCATAATTGTAGCAATGGTCCAGCCAAGCAGGCAACAAGCTTGCACACACCATTAACTTGAGGCTCAGATATTGTGGGTCCTGCATCAGCGGGAGGCCTCAAGTAATCCTCAAGCCTGCAATCATGGCATGTCCCATGCCTCTTGTATTCCAGGATTCCATGTGCAGGGGGTATTTACTCTAGGAACACCAGGGCGAGCTCAAGCAACCACCACCCATGTCAACATGAGGAATCAAACAATAAGCAAGCAAGGCAATGCTGCACGTATGAGCCAAACCTGACACAACGGTATTGTTTTCAGAAACTGCATGCAAGCATCTAGCCTACAAAAGAGATGTAGGGCGTCTCAGAGTCATTTGCTGTGACTCGTTTCTAGGACTCGTTTCTAGGTCATGATCATACTCGCAACAGATTTTACTGGCACTTCCAGTCTTGAACTCACTGAAGATCTTCTCTGGCAGAGCATCTAAATGCATCAGCTCCTCACCTAGGGCTGAGTGAAGCGCGATGGTCAAGCTTGATATCTGTGCATATCACGACATGTTTGTTGGAGGATTTTCCTTGCAAGGACCAGCCGCATAGCAGCTGTAGTTCGGAAGGGCGTGCATTCCTGAAAAACCCTTGCTTTGACTCTGCCACTCACAGGGTCCTTGAGAATACAGCCTCATTTCTCAAGCCCCAACTCTGGAACCCGAAGCCAAACCAAGAACCTTGAACCTAAATGTCGACCTCACAAAATTTCCTAACCCTGAAGCCTGGAACCCTAAAACATAAACCCTGCGGGTTCAGACCCTGGACTACTGGCTGCAAGTCTGACTCCAGGATGACATGTTGAAGCACCTGGGTGCGGCGTCGCTGGTGGACGAAACTGTAGTGCAAGTAGATCGCCAAGGCAAGAGGGATGAGGGTGTTCCGGAGTTTATGGTTGAGGGGTTTGCGTAGTGTTGGAGATTGGGGAGTAGGGTTCAGGATTCAGGGATTAGACCTTGGGGCTTTTGAGCTTCAGGTTAAGTGGCACGAGTTCTGGTCTGATCATGAGGACTATGAACCAATTATGGATCAGCTTTCAGGACCAGGGCAGATCAATCCGTCATCCCAATGATGGCACGGAGGATTCCTTTCTCGGGTTCGCCTTTTTTGGTTTTTCATTTTTCTCAACACATTCCCCAGAATTGACAGCCTGAGGCAAGACAGTCACCACTGCAGATGGCACCGTCATCCCATATTCCAAGCTTGTGGTCGCGACCGGGATCTGGACCAACAGCATGATGCAGAAGATGTCATTGCCTCTTCTGCCCTTGATCACTAGCATTGAGCAGCAGACGTATTACTCTGTCCCGGAAGGCTAGCGATGGCGAAAGAATAAACACATCGTTGAGAGTTTCTCTGCTTGGGGCCACCACTAGTTCCAAGCTTTAATCCCCGAACAGCGAACTAAGATGAACTAGGCATGGATGAGCTTTACAGCTCGAGCCACTTGCCCGTCATCATAGAGCACAACCCGCCGCCAGAGCCACAAATGAAGCGCCGTGGAGGCTACGCTGGCATTGCTTCACACCATGTAGAAAAGAGTGCGAAGGTTTTGCCAGTTGTCTGTTAAACAAGTCGCCGCGAAGGCTACTTCATCCCGCATCTCAGCAATGGTGCTACTCGGCCGATACCACAGATATGGCAAATACAGGGTTATGAGACGTTCAGCACTCCAAGCACACAATGAATGATTTAAGGGAACACCTCCAAGGGTGAGGCTTCTTAGCAAGCTGAATTTCTGCAAGATCCACAACTGTAGACCCTGGGCCCCCGAGTACGGGCAGGAGGTTCTGCGAAATCCTTCACAGTCCTGAAGCTGACAACCCCTTGGCACGCACCGTAGGTACATCCCAGAGTTTCTAGCTGGTTGAGAGCTACCATGCCATCCAGTGTAATCCACATTTCTAGGCAAAATCACAGGTCGTGTGTTGGGCGCCCATGCATGTGGGGAGTTCAGTTTCATGGAGACCTTGACATTAAGAATTGATGCCCTAGACACTACGCTTTGTTTCATTAACTGTAACTCTGTACAAAACTCGAGCAGAAGCCATGAGGGACAATTGTCGTAAACACAATCCCGCATGAGTCCCGTTAAGCCCATGTAGGAACGCAGTATTGACGAAACCTTCAGACTATCGTCCTGAATAACCTTGTGGTTCCGATATTACTTGCAGATGAAAGGCTGGGAGCCAACTTTTGGCACGTGCTCAAGTTCGGCTGGTCCATAGTTTTCTTGTGACAACGTTCTGGTTCGGAGTGTGCAACTGTAATTGAGCCAACTGAAATGGAAAATGGGTATGCCTCACAAAAAAAGCACCTCATACCAAACTGGCTTTAAACTTAGAATGACAAGCGCGTGATTTCCTTCAAAGTTAGGGGCTTACCTTTCAGGATCAAGGAGAGCTTTCCGATTCGGGGCATGACAAGTTGCTGTTGGTGCTTTGGAAGCTGAGGCCACAAAACCCTGAATTCTCAAGCCTGCATTCAGGAGCGTACACATTGTCAGCAACGGTCTGTCTTCGGGGCAGTGAGCACACTGGGCAGATCCCCAACAAAGTAACTCACCACTAATCACAGGATAGTGCTGTTCAAGTTTTAGATTTTTTTGGGGGTCTCCGTCTGAGGCATTCAAGCAAGGAGGGTCTTTACTGCTCCGCTGAGGTGGATGGTGTGAAGTTTGGCATGCATCGTCAGGGCCCTCTCCTAGATAATGAGGACAGGTTCAGGGTTCAGCTGAGGAGTTTAAGGGGCTTGGGGAATGCGGGCTTAGCCGGTCAGACCTCCAGGTTGAGTGCTCAGGGGTTAGGGTTGAGTTCTTGGGGCTCTAGATTGGCTGAGGGACGAACACACGTGTGATGTCGGGGGCAGAGTGAAACTTCTCAGGCTCTGCTGGTTGCCAATTGAGGACTCGTGGTCGTATCATAATGCTTTTCATATTGACCACTCATGGTTGACCTTCTGGAATCAGTAGATTCCCTTAACATTACAAGGGGGTTAGGAATGGTCCACATTAAGGCAGAGTTTATGTGAATCCTGGGTCTCCCTAGTGGGTCCGTCTGTTTTGGGTGTTCAAGGCGTGTACAAAAGAGGTTGTGAGTAGTTACAAGCTCGGGATGGCCTCGTCACAGTGGAAGCAGCTTACTCCCATGAAAATGCGCTACAGAGCTAGACATGCTAGATGCTAAGAGGTCAGTCCTGACATTCTTTACATCTTGAGCACGCTAAGATTGATGCATGCCGGTCCTAGACATCGTAATGGTTCAGTGAACCCAGGTGGCGCAAGGTTTCCCCCATTAGCTGCCCATTATTTCCCCTAAGTCCCAAACCCCAACCTTGACGAAAGTATGGGAGTGGCTCATCTCATGCCTCACACGTCGAACACCTTTCACCTGGTATTCATAACCCTTGGAATTCAGTGTGTGAGGGCTTCAGGAGCTACACCTTTCTTTTGAATATCACGCATCTGCAATAACGGATTCTCAACAATGTCAGGCTGGAAATATCCCAAACCCAAGACGCCAAACCCCGAATCGTAGGCTGAGACCGTGCAGCCAGAAAAAGAGCCAATGAAAAACAATCGAATCATGATGAAAAAGCCTGAACCCCCTCTTTTTGTCCTTCCAGTGACCCGCAATCTCTAAACTCTTCATTAGCGAATGGGCTTGAGGGCGTGCGCGGGTACTTATCAATGGGGACCGTAGTCAATGTTGTGACTGTAGCGACCCTGCTAATGATGAAGCCCCAAAATGCGAGGACTTCCCCATGGTCCCTGGATCTGCGGCTGCATCCGCAAAGCACTTCTCTTGCTGCGCCACACGTGGTCGAGATGCCTGGTGTAGCAGGTCGTGGTATTGGGGTTTTGTGGCAAAGCATCGGTGTTATATGGTAGGGCAGTAAATCATTGCATGGAGGGGTTTGGCTTTTTGCCTTAGGATTCTGTTCGGGTTTAGGGTCTGACTGTGGGATGCCATTAGCTGCAGGAACAAGTGGGTTTGCATAGTTTGGGAGCACCTTGTAGGAATGTCAATGTCCCTGCATATGCATGATTGTTCGATCTCCACGGATGGGCTTCTGAGGTAATTGGGGTTGATGACTCTGTTTCTTGTCGCCGTGTATCGGCTGACCAGCATAAGTGGGCAGGTGAGCAAAAGGTTAGAAGCTGTATTGAGGATGTGACAACACAGTGCACGCAGGGCCCACGACCTGCGTAGTGCTTGGCAAGCCCTGCCTGCACATGTCGAAACTATGGACGTACAGCATCGTCACCTTTCAACAAAATGTTGATTTAAATTGCTTTGTACTGGCCTCTTCCAAAAGGCTCCTTCACGGGCAAGTTTGTAGTTCTTGTGAAGGTGCTGAACGTGGTGTGCAGCACGTGTGTAGGGCTTCACACCGCGCCTCAAACTAGCTCTTGAACATGGGAGTTTCTCATGTGATTTTGTAGTGTGGGTCTCTGCAGTAGGGCATCCATCATGTTGCCTGGCCACAATTTTGAGAAACACCCATAGATAACATTCGCTAAGCTCAGACATTCTTGGTTTGGTATTTTTCCTGCAAAGAGCGGCACCAAGTCCTGATTGAATTTGTTTGACAGCTGCGCCCTTGGTCCTCACCATGTTGACCCTAAACCATACAACGACTAAGCGAAGACTCGTTTTCCTGCTTCCCGTCAAAGGAAAACACAAATCCAGTTTGCAGCACTGACATAGATTTACAAAGTCTTGGTAAGAAAATTGGCATGAGTATTAACACCTGTGTGTGAGTTTTTCTGTTCACATAGCAACGCTGGGATCCAAAGCCTGGAGCTCGAAGTGTAAACCTTGAGAACCTTGAGCTTCTAATCCTGAATACCAGCCCTAACTCCGAAGCCCTCAGCCATAGCGCGAAAGCATCCAAAAGCAGCAAACTGCAGGTGGCCGGAGGAGGAGGATTCCCATCTTCGTGCGGAGACGGATGCCTTTTGCAAGAGGATCTTGCCTGGGCTGCGTGGCATGCAGATGTTTAGGGTTTGTGATTTGGTAGTGGAGGGGCATTTTAGAATGGAGTGCAAAGACTTTTGTGTATGAAAGTTAGTGTCAGGAAACGGAGACTCTTTTTGCAGAGCTCCGTCCAAGCATTTGCATGCTCAGGTGTCGAGATGTGGCTACAATCATTTCTGTCCCGTCTCTTTGTTTTTCAGCTGAGTCCTTGTTTTTTCGGATGTTTTCAACCTAGGGGACATTACGTTCTGTGGGGATCCATCAATTCTGATATATACATACCCTTCTGGTTCCAGCACCAGCCCATTTCTGGGCAAGTCAATGCGGTCCCTAATTATGTTGTCTGGCAAGTATGATCGATGGAGGAGGTCTTGCACCACGCTAGAATATATCAATACGAATCATAGAAAACTAGCACATCAAGTGGTGCAAGATGTCTTCTGTCAAGTATATGCAAGCAATATGGATTCCAGCTCATATGCCTTTGGCAGATTCAGCGCAGACGTTCGTGGTGCAGAACTTCTGCAGTACGGTCACTCAGGTCCTCTGTTTGAGATCCCCGAGAGCACACGCCACTCTCCATCAGATGCCCAAGACCAAGCTCCCCCAAACTCGTGCGTGCTGAGTCATTGAATTCTACCGTAGCCCAAGGATCCTCGGGTTAGTCCTCAATGCTGCGGAAGTTCAAGCTTGACCACGTCACTTCTAGTTTCTCAGGTTCCGCCAAAGTCTGGACTCGAACGCTAAATCCTATGCCCTGAACCCCTAACCCTTAAACCTTGAACCGCGCAGCCTGTCAAAACCCCAAATGCTACCTGAAACCTGAACCACGAACCCCAGACTGCCCCTGCTGGAGGTTGAAACCAGCTGAGCCCCCTGCGCTCACTATGCGCTGCCCCTATGACCAGCAGCTTTACGCAGATGAGGCCTGGGTTTCAGTGTAGATTGGAGGTTGAAAGTTGGGAGCCTTATTAACCCAATTCCAAAAACTTGTGCTCCATGTGGTGGGCTCTGAGTTCTTGGGGCACGAGCTGCTCAACTCTCCTTAGTTTTGGGAGGGTTTGCTCCTTGCACTAGGCGCCGTGCTAGCAATTAGTCGTAGCCTTCCCATTGTCAGGCTTCAGTCATTGCTGTCGAGCAAATTTTAGAAATTAATGCTGACCAGAATTTCAAACATATTTTTTGGCGAAAATCAGCTGCAGAAGGGGTGTGTATGCCAACGAGTTGCCGTTTTTCTACAATCTTGAGCATGACCTCCCAAAAACAATCATCGAACACCAAGAGGGCCGGCAAAGATGAGTGGGCTGTCCATAGCCAGGCCTTTGCATTGCGTGCCATGGCTGTATGGGGGCGAATTCACCTGCTTCGCCCTGCTTTCAACAGCTGCTGTAGACGCCCTGAGCCCATGTCTGCCAGTTAGAAAAACCTGTTCATTTGTCCATGCTTGCTGGATAGAGAGTGTGCAGGGCCAAGCCGATTTGGAATTCAATTCTTGTCAACAAGGGTGCATAGAAAGCCCGAGCTTCCTGACGTGTTGACACGTCCAACGTCCATTCTTGCATCACTCATAGAAGCTGGCCGAGTACAAGACTTAATGAAAACAGCCGGCCGTGCTCTCCACTCGGCGCAGGACTTCGTGGTGAGCGTGCACCCCGAGGACCCATCGACCGGTGATCTCATAATCTTGTGGGCATATGTTCCAAAGTTTGTAGACGCTGAAAGTACCAGAACTGGTAAGGTGCTGGCACAACCTGTACAGGCTCCTACAATCCTTAGGTCCTTGGCTGCTGTCTTGAATGCCAGCCTTCAGGGAGAAGATCCTGTAAAGCCTCAGTTGCATTGTAATTTTTTCCTCCTTGTCACTATCGCCCTCCTCCTTGTATCCGCCAAGCAGTGGCCCCAAACCCTAAGCCTGTCGACCGAAACCGTATAAAACGGAAGCGTAGAACAAGTTGTAGATCTCTGAACAAGGAATGTTATTCAGAACATGTATCCCATTTTAGTTCACATGTAGTTCTCCCCGTAAATCATGGTTCCCAGTCTTCTAGGCCTATACAGTAACCCTTGTCTGAAGGATCCCGATGTGATTATCGTGGGAGGCTTTGCCGGCGAGGGTTTTAAGTTACTTGGTCATTCATTCATTGGGCCATCAAAATGCTTTGGGTTTTCTCTGAATCATGGCGGTGCAGGATCAATTGAGGGTTTTTTGTTAGGGAAATTAGCGCACGTAAATAACTTATGACATATATGTACTCATACATTACATATGCCGGATGTCTCAAGATTCTGTTGGGAGTTCCATTTTTTGATGGGATGTAGATGGACTTATCTTGTTTTCTTTTCTGGGAAGCCGAACTTCGAGACACTTTTATGTTGATTGCCAGACTTACACATCTTTTTTGGATTTTGTATTCTGCTTGGGTTGAAGGAGACCTCAAAGGGATCATATTCACAAGATGATTTTACATTCCTTCCTGTTGGAAATCACCAGGTTGCCATGTCAAAAGCTTCGTCCCAGCTTGAAGAAAAATCGCGAGTTACAGCAGTGAGAGGAAGACCCCAAAGCATGCGGAACCCGTTTTCGAGGATTCCTGAAAGGAGAGGTCCGAATCTTGCAAAGTACCGGGCAAGCCTTGAGCCATAAATTGCTTAGGGTTTTGGGCCGCTCTAGGGTTTCGAAACTTCAGGCTTGAACTTTGTGAGCTTAGGTTTCAGGGCTCAACCTCCGACCAAAACCTAGCAAACCCAGGACTCTCAACGGAATCCTTAAGCCAGAAAATGTACCTCAATCCAGCAGGGTTTGCCAAAAGAATGAATGCACCCTTGGGGGAGATCCTAAATATTTGTGATGGAATTATGGCGCCTTACAAAAAAAGCTATGCATGCCTGCATTTGAAAAAATGCAATACTAACCCCTCGAGTGTAATTCCTAAATGCTAAATCCTGAGTTCTGAACACAAATGCTAAACACGCAGCCCCAAGCTCTAAGCCTGGTTTAAGGTTTGGGCCTGCAGTGGGCGAGATGGCAGCTTGCTTGGTAACCGGCGCTGCCTTTGCGGTGCCGGAAAGCTCCTGGGTGGGTGTTTGGTTTAAGAGGTGTATTTAGGATTTGAGGTTTTGATCTTGGACCGATGATTCATGGCTTGGAATTTTGGAATTTCGGATTTTTGCAGGCTAGAGTTTGGGTTTCAGGGTTGAATTTGTAGAGGGTTCTGTAACAAGGTTGGGACTTGGATTTCAGATGTGAGGAGATGGCTTAAACGCAAGACTGATTAGAGAATGGCAGCCCTGACCCCTGCGATGGTTGACACCCTTGGCATGCTGCGAAGATGTTACAGCACAGTTCAGAAGCAACAGCAGTTACGCGGATGTCGACTGTGCAGTTTGGTTCAAAAACACTGACAAATTCAACTGAAAAAATTGAGGATGGCAGCCCAACATGCCACACTAACGGAGTCAACGCTTTTTTTCTTCGAAATCTCTCGCATTGCTACATGCCACGATCACTGTGAGGGCCAGCACTTTCGAAGATCGATGGCAAAAACTATTGCTCCTGGCACCAAGCAAGGCTTCTCGCGCTTCCGGCTCGATAGGAAGACTTTGCTCTGACAGGCTGGCGATAACTCGGCTCTCCCAAATGTTAGGCTTCCTCATGGGTCAGTTTATTCTGAAAGGAGCCACGAGACGCCATATATCTCCTCAACTCCAACATGTTTCAAGAACACGGTGTGCCGACATTTGGGGCAGGGGTGGGATTTTAGTATTAGGCACGACTGCACGAAGCCTGAAGCCTGCTTCTCCCCAGGTTCCACAAGGCGCAGCCTCAGGATCCATGAGAATCACCAGTAGGAAAAGTGGGCTTACGTAGCATAAAGGTTGGTCTACTTCTTGCACTGCAAGCTCCAGAGCCCTACATCCTTTTAGTCTTCTGCGCCCGCAAACCTTTGAAGAGACAGGCTTTGTGGATTCAGCTGCATTTGGTGGCTTCATCTTCCAGTGCTCTGTTACTGTTAAGAGAAGTACCTGAGAAACAAAAACATGGATAGGGTTTCTCATGGTGGTAATCCAACGCAAATTCTTGACAGTAACACAGACTTGCGCAACGGTTGCTCTTTGCAAGCCCTTCGGAGGGCGATTCATTGGTGATTTTTTTAGCAGGAAGTCATTTCTCATATCCTGAAGCATTTTGCCTATCACGGCCTCTCTGTCAAGGGGCCTGGTAGCCAATTATCAATGGCGATTCAAAAAATCACCGCGCAGTCTTGCGCTTTTGGCAACGTACTTGGCGCCTCTGGCGCTTGTCCCGCGTGTTGGTTGGACGCTCGGGCTTAGGGCAGACGAACGGCTTGAAAAATGCAGTTGGGAAAATGCATCATGGTCTATGTTGCTGGCTCCTGCAATGAGGCGCTCCCTCAAACGTAAACCGTCAGCTGTGGACTTCAGGCGGCCAGATGAGCCAGTGCATGCCTGGCACATCTGCGTTTGCCTAAGGCTGTAGACGTAAGCATCCTGCATCAGCTTCCCTCATCAATACTTGAACTTGCTTCGTACCAATTTTTTGCCCTTGCCCCCTCGACATTTATGATGATGTCAGGGTAGGGAGAGCATGTGTGCTGTCTAGATGCAGGTGTCTTGGACCTTTGCACCTCTTCCGCCGCTGTCTCGCGTTGTCAATAGTTGCTGCACAGACACCAGCTACATCTTCAGCCTACAGGAGAAGGAAGCTTGCACAGATGATCAAGCGTTGCACTGCGCAAGAATTGCCAGACTCCGGTCTTCCCACTTTAGGAGAGCTTGAGCCACACGTTTTGGTCGCAAAATCCGTCATGGCTGCAATTGAAAAACAAGCCTAGCTTGCATACAACAATGCTGCTTACTTAGGAGAGCCAACTACACATGCCAGAAGGGTGACCTGCTTCAAGCCATGGTGCGTGCCTATGTCTACTACTGCATACCAGGTTCCAGCCACCTTGTTTCAACAAGGATTTCGGATTTCCCTAAATCATTATTTGGGTGCCAGTTAGAATGCGCGTGTCGAGGAGCCACTTCAGGAATTTTACAGAAGCGGAGCATGATGGAACGCTAATGGGATAATCATGTCCTTGCTTGGGAAGGAAACGACCCACCCTGGACCTCAAATCCTACATTCCAAAATGCAACTTCGAGCCAAACCAAACACGCATGTTACTGGACAGGTGACAACGACAAGCTTGAGCATCCAAATGCCTTTGAGGTCTGGCATGAAGGCTGAGAAGAGGGTTGAACGTGCATGGTTTCGGATTCATTGCAAATACTGACTGTAGCTTGCATGTTTCTGTACGTTGTATTGCTGTCATGGAGATAAGTATCCTCACTATACATTCTTGCATTGTTGTGTTGTCAGTAGTGTACGTACTCGTGAGAGTTGCAGGAGCGTTCTTCATGTATCTGCTCTCGTTCATGATGCTGTGACTGTTGTCCTCCTCAGCACGATCGTGCATAATTGTGCTTTATTCGGACGAGTTTCGGCGGACTGCGGAGATTGGTCCTAGGCTTCAGGCTTTCGCCTTCATCTCCCAATGAGCCCTAAGAAGCGAAAATTGCGCCAAAAGAAGACATTGATGTTGCCTTTCGCTGGTGAGTTGTGTGCAGAGTCATGGATGATAAGTTCTGGGCCAACACGTAACTTCCCCCGACTAACTTCCCCTTTTCCAATGGTTGAAAAGCTTCATGTCGTTCTGTATACCCTGATAGTCACTACCCATGAGCTTGCACGTAAGTAAGTCGGCCAGGAACATAGTTCTGCTTTGTATTTTTGCAGGTCATCTTTCTTCTGTTTGTCCTTGACTGCGCTGCCTTCTAGTTCATGTGCTTCGCATGGCTTGAATTCATTGGACTCCCGAGAAGCTATCTCTAAAGCCCACATGTAACCCCCAAGTACCGGATCCATCACCTTGTAGTTCTGAACGTCGACTCCAAATCCGGATATTGAACAAAGCTCCGATGTCCTAGCTTTCCCGCCGTGAAAGCCTTGGAGGCTGGTTAGTCAAGAGTACAGGAATGGAAGCTTGTGGTTCTTAATGTTCTCATTGCTATGGCCTGTTGCTCCTGTTGTGACGTCAAGCAGGCCTCTGCCTTCCTTGTACATTCTTTGCGCTGTCAACTGGCCGCTCTTTTGCCATGCACTTCCAGATATGGTGTGTGCGTTGGTAACACAAATTCTTCGTGGGCTAGTAGGCGGTGGGCCTGAGTTACCTTTCGCCTCAACGCTCCGACACTCCCCGAAGCTGGCTATGTTCCCATTCATTCTTTTTCCGACTGCTACTTATTGATATGTGGATCTCATTTGCCCAAGATGATCTTCACCTGTACCAGCCAGACGTCCTTTTGATTACCCGGGTTCTTGCGCTGTTGGCATCCATAGCTTCACAGCTCGGAGCTTACGCATTGGAAGAAAAGACGGCAACAATCATTAGTATGATTAAGCTCCAGGCCAGATCGTTACAGATACTGTTACAGCTTTTATGAGGGTACATGTGCATCTATTCACAGAACATAATGTGCGAACCACACATGCCGATTTGAGGCAGGACTGGGCCTCCACCTGCGTAATTTCCAATCTGTAAATCTCCTGTACTGCTTCCAAAAATTAGAGCTTATTTGGATTGCAGGCTATTCTATTCTTGAAAGAATAGAAGACTCAGACGACTGAACTGAAAGAAGTCCGGTATACGATGTGGAACTCCTTTTTATTGGGCGGATTTATGCCAAACTGTGTTGGTTCGATGGTGGTTTCATGGTCTTAACAAAGTTACATACTTTGAACCTGGAATGCGCACCTTTATCCGCTGTTTAAGTTACCTAAGTATGTACTGGGATCCATTCTTACTACCGCATTTTTTAGTTTGATATCAATTTGTTGTATTACTTTGGGCCTGTTTCCATTATTTTTAACGAACTGCATAAATGACATAAGGGCGAGTTCCATTGCTTTAGCTATGTGAAGGAATTCAGTCAAGGAAAGTAGCACGCTTATGGGAATTCCTGAGCTGCTGGACAATGACCTCATAAGCAGAAGATACCAGGCGAACTAAACAATTTTCATGAGTTTAGTTTAAATACGGCTACTATTGGAATGATTGGTGGCGGTGGTACACATGAGGGTTTTAAAAAAGCAGGGGTACTACTGGAATGATTGGTTGCCGTGGTATAGACAAGGGTGTCCCAAAATCAGGGAGGTCTATTTTTTGGCTCCCATACTAATGAGTCTGCTCTTCAAATTGTCGTGTTTGCGGTACACTTAACCATTCCAGAAAGTATATTCTCTCTTTCTAGGATCCCTATAACACTCGCCCGGTGAACAAGATTATCATGACAGCCAGCGCTTAGAACACCAATGTTCGTTGGCAGGAAGAGATCACAATGAAACTCCCCGAACACCATTTGAGGACTTTGCATGTGACCCAGACGGAAATTAAACAAAGCTTTTTTGGGATTCGAAAAAAAAAGAACCACAAAAAACACAACAATGCAGGGCTGTCCATTTGAAGCATACCGTAAACTAGAAAAACAGTGCAAGCAACATGCAACCTAAAAGTCTCTGACTGAGGGGCCTCCACAGCAAGACTTGTGAAGCATCTTTTGCGCTTGTGTTTTTTTCCAGTCTCATTTTCCTGGATTTCCGGTTCAGTTGATCTGCTATATGAGGGTTCGGTTGTTTGCTTCTGATGGCTGAGCGTCGCCCAGTATATATGTTGGGTTCAGCCCCTGCCACTCATACTGAGGTGTGACGGTGTCATAGGATTATACTGGGGAAATACGTTCGATCACGAGTGATCTTGCTTTCGCCCATGCCACTTTAGTTAGCACAGAGTTTTGGCATGGTGCTCAGCCGGCACAAGGTGCTTCGAGCGTGCCATGTGGAGATCCACATGCCAGAACTAGTACTTTATGGTGCCGGGGTTATTAAGGGGTTGGGTAACCTACTTATAGAGGGATACATTATGGTTTAATATGGGCCATTGAAGGCATACAACAGAACAGCTTACTTTAAGGCCCATCAAAGTAGCAGCCCCGAACCCAGGTCAGACACTGCTTCTGCTTCAGACACTGCCATGTCTTTGCTGCAGCTGCTCATTACAGACACGCTCGGAATCACGCTCCAGCCGCTCCAACCAAAGTAAGGCATCCTAGCCGACAACCTGCTGCTTGCCGCCTGTAAGCCTCCAAAGGCTCCTCTTCACAATTTTTAGGTAAGATCTATACTCCCCCATACTTAAGTGACACTAGTTCGAGGGAGCAGGCTGAAAAAGTCTTAGTAGTAGTAGTAGTAGTAGTAGTGGTAGTAGTAGTAGTAGTAGTAGTAGTACTACTGCTTCTTCTTCTTCCACCACCACCACCACCACCGCCGCCGCCGCCGCCGCCACCACCTTCTTCATATACCATTTTCCTTACCGCTAAGAGATGCTACCTTAACTCCTCTTTTTCTTGTTTCTTCTCGCCACGATGCTCCTGTTAGAAGTGCAAGTAGCAGTCCTTCGCTCAATGTCGGAGGCGACAGGAAGCAGATTTTTGTGCATAACGGTATTTTTGTTATTAGCTCCAACGTGCTTGAGAAATTCAAGCCGCGG